GTAAAATTTCGATTGTTGTTTAAGCCTGTTATTCGTGTCATCGGATTATGATTTATATTTAATGTTTACGTACAGAGCTGAATGTGTCTATTGATATTTCGAATATCTTCCCACCCGTAAGCTTCGGCGGATATCTCGATATACCAATCAGAATTATTAAGTCCTGGGCCTTCTTTTCTGGTAGGTTGTACCATTCTATATTGTAAGTCGCTTCACCAAATTTTTCGCCCTATTGAGAGAATAATTAATTTTATTGCTCTCGAAAGGGATGTAAGTGCGGATCATTGAAAATCGTACGACACCTCTTCGACAAGAAGATCGCCCGCGTAACAAATTATGAACATATTCAGAGTCATCGAAATCCACGAGCCAACGTATGTTCCGAGCGCTATCAAATCAACGTCTCTCCACGCCTAAAAGAAATCATGTACTTAATTAAGTGCATACGCAATCTAGTACTGCTAAACACTAATGCCGTTTACCATAATGGAAAGATATTCCATAGTGCATATAAGAAGAGTCGTGGTCGTTACTTCCAAAAAACATATCTCTTGCATCGCATACGCGACGCGTTTCGCGTATCTAAAAATATTTACAGATATAAGTAGAAAATTGCTATATCGTGGAACCAGCGAGGAAGAAGTAATCAGTTTTGCTATGTGAAATAAGAATCGAACGATAAAGTGATAGACTTACGTTAATATCCCAACGTGATTACTGACGATAAGAGGTAAGAGACTTTTCTCCTTGTTATTCTTCGCATCTACAACCATATCTTCCAACAGTGCCATTTGAATCTGAAGCATTCCGCGAGCATGACCGACGAAGGTTGCCATTATACCGCACAAGGCTGTCTCTACGCCTACAGAGAGACACGCGTAAGCGCAGTGCGCGCTGTATATCATTTGGTAGATAGGTGCCGAGTAAATGTCATCAATAAACAAGTCTAACCCGGGGAAAAGCAATGGTTTCACATCTTCAGTGGCATTAGTGGCCACAGACCACGGGGACGAAAACAAGGGTAAAACGGTGACGTAGCATATGCCGTTGATGTACAAGAGAATCGTAAACGCGAGGGTCGATTTATTAGCGATAGCTAATTTTTCGAGCATGATAGTCTGGTGTTCCACGGTTTCTATCGATTTCCAATCCTCCTCCATCTGTTCGATGCAATCCTTCAACGCGGTTGATTTCGAACAGAGATAATAGAGCTTCATTATGCACGAACTGCAGTAACAGATAGGCGCAAAAATCGTGATCCGCTCGTCGATCTGTTTCACGTAGAAAAAGCAGTAGTACGTTGTCGGGAGCAGCGCAAACAACAAACTGCCTAGACACGCTGCTATCAGTATCATCGAGACGATTCTCTCGATTACGCCGTGGTAGCCGTTTATCAACGGCCAGACACCGATTACCTTCAGAAGCAGTCGACAATATTTTAGACTGTTCCGTGTATTTTTCTGATAATTATTATTCATCGTACGTCTCGACTGATTCTTAGAAACGTCTTAGTATCGTCGGCGTAGTTGTTCGACTGATCGAAGAGCATTCTCTTGACAGCGAATCTAAAGACGCAGGCGCATCGCTACCGTTCAAAAAAAGAGTTTAATTATGCGACGTATTGTTCTATAGAATGTATCAAGAGTGATATCGACTAGCGAACTTATACGTCGACGCACGTGATAATGCATACGATAAAAAGAAAAGTAAAAGGTAGAAGAACCGTGGAGGTTTTTTCGAACGAAGTATACTGTCTCCTCTCGTTGGCCGTTGGTTGAGACCGCAAAAAAAGACAAGAGCACGCGAACCGCTTTACCAGGTTCTACAAAGTTCGCACAAGTTTGTATCTGGGCTGAGAAATAATTGACAACGTTTGAAGTATACGAGGGACAGATGCAATTTCTTTCTTAATATCTCATCAGATGCGAAACCTGACCAGAAAGTTTTGCGTTTAGAAACTGTACGACGAATATACGAATCTGCAAGTTAAAGGATTACACTGCTAATTCTTTGGCTGTGAACTGATCAATTTCTGTACACTCAAATCTTTCGTCGAAGGTAATCTGCATACGAAAGAAATTCGTCAAAATATATGTAAGATAATCTTTGTGGATAAGATGTAAGTAGATATTGAAATTTGAATAAATTATAATTTCAATGTGTTTATTCGTTTCGTGTAACCATACATGGTGATAAAACGTTAGATTTCGGGTTTGAGCGATTTGAACGGTTACTTGTTACGTCATATACTCACACTGGTTAATTTTAGAAAATGGGTGAGTATTGAAAACGATTTACTTAGAAGGATAAACGATTGGTATTTTATTGCTAATATAAATATTTTGTTGTTACATTCATTACGAAATGTTATTGTTAAGTTAGTGTAACATTCCTGCAGTTATAATACGATACATTCGTACTTTCCATTTAGTGTTAGAAAAAAAGATCTGCAAAATTATTATTTGGATCATTCGTTAATTAAAAATAGATAACAGTGAATATTGAATGATTAAAATGAATTACCAATTCGTAATTGTCAGTATTAAATTTAAATAAACAACCGACGTTTTCACCACCTGGAAATTATTGAATGTTGATCATACCTAATGTTACAATAAACAAAATAAAAAGTGAAAAGAATGGATTACATTTTACTTACATTACCGAAAGTGTCCAAGGATAACTGAATTATTTTTCCGGCAGTAAGTTTCGGAGGATTCTGCGATATGATGTTCAGTAGAATAAGATCGTGAGCTTTCCTCGCTGGCAAAGTGTACCATTTGATTTCATAGGTAGTCGTACCAATTAGGTAAAACTAATCACGATTGTTAATGACGTTCAAAACGGTTATTTAATTTTTTCTAAAAATTTAATTTTTGTACCTGCTCAGAGAGAATCTCGCCTATGTAACAAAATATAAATATATTATAAGTGAAGGAAATCAACAAGGTGGCATAGGTCAACAGTACGACTGCATCCCTCCGTCCCTGAAAGTCGGTTTGTCGGTAACATATTTTCTGAAACGATTTTCATTTTCCGATTAGTTACCATAATAGTGTAGTACTCGAGTATGCACATAATCAACGTGGATTCCACGATTTGGATGAAGCATAATTCGCGCAAAGCTTTCTCGGTGGTCTTCGCAAATCTGTAACAGCCACACATATCTGTCTTTTTACTATTTCCCATAAAGAAAATATAAAAGAAAATCGTGCAAGTTTTCATCATTCTCACCTCAAAATCTCCACATGATCGTGAACAATGGTATTCAATAGATCATCGTCTTTCATTTCGATTCTCTCAACTAACTCGTCCAATTTGACTATTTGTATCCGAATTTGACCGCAAATATGAGTAACGAATACCGCTGCGAAACTGTACGCGGCCGTCGTAACAGTGTACATAATCATAGCCGCGAAACAGTGAGTAAAAAACACTATTTCATAGGTAGGACTCGACTGCACATCGAGGAACCAATCGTAGCCGGGATACGAGAGTGGCCTAAAGGTGCTATTATCTTTGACACCCTCTTTCGACAAGAACTGCATAACTGTATGAAAGGACATACCACCTGTGTAGATGAAACTGGCGCAGATGGTGATTAAATTCCTGCTCATTGTCATATACTTTAACATAATTCCCCGGTGGTTGGGGTCCTGCACCGTTCTCCAATCCTTCTCCACGTGTTGGATGCACCGTTTCAAGGGGGTACTTTTTATAATGAGACAGCAGTATTTCAATACAGAGGACACACAGAAACCCACAGGTCCGAACAGCTTCAACTTCATCTGTACGCTTTTATTCACATAGAGGACATAGTGGCCGGACGGTACGATGATGAAGAAGATACTCGAGAAGCACGTGACCATTAGAACCGCGGAGACGAAATAATCCAGTCTGCTGCTTCGACCGGAAACAAGCGGCCAAACTCCGATCGGCTTCAACAGCCACTTGCTCAGCTGTAGCGTGTACTGTACGTCCCTTACAGAATTCCAATTACTTGGCTCTTCCTTCGTGTCATTGCGTGACTGATGGTGCATGCTGACTGCTTCAGTACACGCTGTCGACTGAATGACAGTCTGAAGTTTAGTCACAATGCTGACAAGAACGCAAGCGCGTGCTTTCTCTGATACGAACATCGACCACATGCGTGTGCCACACACGGTGCATATTACAGTAGGGGGACATCAGTCGATAATCAGGGGACGTTTTTTGCTCATTAATTTCAAACTCTCAGTTCGTTGGGGAGTACGCACCGGTGTATAAGGGGAAATCGAATGTGTAGAACAAAGGAACTTGGGCTGAGAACTATCACTTTTCTGGGATAAGTACGTATGCGTCGCCATAAAATTTTATGTGGATTGTCGTGAATAGTGTCCGATTCATATATGTAAATAATTGTCAATACTACTGTTATGATGAATACTTCAAATGATGAATTTATTCGTTCTCTGGTTCAAATGAAGTATCGGATATTGTAACCTATTACAGAAATAAAGTAAGTGTTAACAAAAACAGACGTCGACAAAAATTTGCTCAACAAGTGCTTTATCATTCGCTAGCGAAGGTATTTGAAATTCACATGTATGCCAGTTAAAATCTACGCAAACTCTGTAACATGACGTTAAGTTTAATTAAAATAATAATGACTTCGGATAAAATGTCAAATCGTCTGTTTGAAAAAATTTGTAAAAAATATTATATCATTCTGCAATTTAATAGCATGGGCGAAAATATGTTTTACTCCGTAAACGTTCGAAGCAGATTGAAGTAAACTACCGATGTCTTCACTACCTGAAAGCATTTACCATTTTTCAATCCATTCCCTTGAACCAATATTGTTTCAGTAAAAGAAACTTACGGTGCTGAAGGTTGTTAAAGATAATTCGATTATTTTCCCGGCTGTAAGTATCGTCGGGTTTTGCGATATGACATTCAATAGAATAAGATCGTGAGCTGTCTTGGCTGGCAGATTGTACCATTCAATCTCGTAGAAAGCCACACCAATTTGCGTGCACTAATTGCGACAGTTAAGCATAATTTATTAATGTTTCATACAGGAAAACTACTACTAAGGAAACTATCTACCTGTTCGAAGAGAACTTCGCCTATGTAGCAAAATATGAATATATTGAAAGTGAAAGAGATCAACAAAGTGGAATACGTCACTATAGCGACCGCGTCGCTGTTCCGCCATTCCTATAATAAACACTACATAAAATTGTTTACCATTACCATATAATTTTCAATCGAATTATATGAATAAGGTTGAAATCGTTTACCGACAAACAATAGTATTCGAGCATGCACATGTTCACCGTCGATTCGATGATTTGAATGAGACATATCTCGCGCAAAGCTTCTTCAACGTTTCTCGCAAATCTGAAATTCGATGTTGTAAGTTACGTAAAAAATGATCATTTTTCACCCCTTGCTGAAGAGTCTTCGATTCCTACTTGATAATCTCGACGTGATCATGAATGATGATCGCCATCGGGTCGGGTGTAACATCGTTGTTCTCCACTTTCTGGACCAATTCCTGCAATCTCTTTATGTTTATCTGAATCTGGCCGCAGATATGAGTAACGAAGATCGCTGCTAAACTGTACGCGGCAGTCGTAACAGTGTACATAGTCATAGCCGCGAGACAGTGAGTAAGAAACACTATTTCGTAAGTAGGACTCGACCGCACATCGAGGAACCAATCGTAGCCGGGATACGAGAGTGGTCTGAAGGTGCTATTATCGTTCGACAAGAACTGCATAACCGTGTGAAAGGACATACCACCTGTGTAGATGAAACTGGCGCAGATGGTGATTAAATTCCTGCTGATCGTCACATACTTTAACATAATTCTCCAGTGGTTAGGGTCCTGTACCGTTCTCCAATCCTTCTCCACGTGTTGGATGCACCGTTTCAAGGGGGTACTTTTTATAATGAGACAGCAGTATTTCAATACAGAGGACACACAGAAACCCACCGGTCCGAGCAGCTTCAACTTCATCTGTACGCTTTTATTCACATAGAGGACATAGTGGCCGGACGGTACGATGATGAAGAAGATACTCGAGAAGCACGTGACCATTAGAACCGCGGAGACGAAATAATCCAGTCTGCTGCTTCGACCGGAAACAAGCGGCCAAACTCCGATCGGCTTCAACAGCCACTTGCTCAGCTGTAGCGTGTACTGTACGTCCCTTACAGAATTCCAATTACTTGGCTCTTCCTTCGTGTCATTGCGTGACTGATGGTGCATGCTGACTGCTTCAGTACACGCTGTCGACTGAATGACAGTCTGAAGTTTAGTCACAATGCTGACAAGAACGCAAGCGCGTGCTTTCTCTGATACGAACATCGACCACATGCGTGTGCCACACACGGTGCATATTACAGTAGGGGGACATCAGTCGATAATCAGGGGACGTTTTTTGCTCATTAATTTCAAACTCTCAGTTCGTTGGGGAGTACGCACCGGTGTATAAGGGGAAATCGAATGTGTAGAACAAAGGAACTTGGGCTGAGAACTATCACTTTTCTGGGATAAGTACGTATGCGTCGCCATAAAATTTTATGTGGATTGTCGTGAATAGTGTCCGATTCATATATGTAAATAATTGTCAATACTACTGTTATGATGAATACTTCAAATGATGAATTTATTCGTTCTCTGGTTCAAATGAAGTATCGGATATTGTAACCTATTACAGAAATAAAGTAAGTGTTAACAAAAACAGACGTCGACAAAAATTTGCTCAACAAGTGCTTTATCATTCGCTAGCGAAGGTATTTGAAATTCACATGTATGCCAGTTAAAATCTACGCAAACTCTGTAACATGACGTTAAGTTTAATTAAAATAATAATGACTTCGGATAAAATGTCAAATCGTCTGTTTGAAAAAATTTGTAAAAAATATTATATCATTCTGCAATTTAATAGCATGGGCGAAAATATGTTTTACTCCGTAAACGTTCGAAGCAGATTGAAGTAAACTACCGATGTCTTCACTACCTGAAAGCATTTACCATTTTTCAATCCATTCCCTTGAACCAATATTGTTTCAGTAAAAGAAACTTACGGTGCTGAAGGTTGTTAAAGATAATTCGATTATTTTCCCGGCTGTAAGTATCGTCGGGTTTTGCGATATGACATTCAATAGAATAAGATCGTGAGCTGTCTTGGCTGGCAGATTGTACCATTCAATCTCGTAGAAAGCCACACCAATTTGCGTGCACTAATTGCGACAGTTAAGCATAATTTATTAATGTTTCATACAGGAAAACTACTACTAAGGAAACTATCTACCTGTTCGAAGAGAACTTCGCCTATGTAGCAAAATATGAATATATTGAAAGTGAAAGAGATCAACAAAGTGGAATACGTCACTATAGCGACCGCGTCGCTGTTCCGCCATTCCTATAATAAACACTACATAAAATTGTTTACCATTACCATATAATTTTCAATCGAATTATATGAATAAGGTTGAAATCGTTTACCGACAAACAATAGTATTCGAGCATGCACATGTTCACCGTCGATTCGATGATTTGAATGAGACATATCTCGCGCAAAGCTTCTTCAACGTTTCTCGCAAATCTGAAATTCGATGTTGTAAGTTACGTAAAAAATGATCATTTTTCACCCCTTGCTGAAGAGTCTTCGATTCCTACTTGATAATCTCGACGTGATCATGAATGATGATCGCCATCGGGTCGGGTGTAACATCGTTGTTCTCCACTTTCTGGACCAATTCCTGCAATCTCTTTATGTTTATCTGAATCTGGCCGCAGATATGAGTAACGAAGATCGCTGCTAAACTGTACGCGGCAGTCGTAACAGTGTACATAGTCATAGCCGCGAGACAGTGAGTAAGAAACACTATTTCGTAAGTAGGACTCGACCGCACATCGAGGAACCAATCGTAGCCGGGATACGAGAGTGGTCTGAAGGTGCTATTATCGTTCGACAAGAACTGCATAACCGTGTGAAAGGACATACCACCTGTGTAGATGAAACTGGCGCAGATGGTGATTAAATTCCTGCTGATCGTCACATACTTTAACATAATTCTCCAGTGGTTAGGGTCCTGTACCGTTCTCCAATCCTTCTCCACGTGTTGGATGCACCGTTTCAAGGGGGTACTTTTTATAATGAGACAGCAGTATTTCAATACAGAGGACACACAGAAACCCACCGGTCCGAGCAGCTTCAACTTCATCTGTACGCTTTTATTCACATAGAGGACATAGTGGCCGGACGGTACGATGATGAAGAAGATACTCGAGAAGCACGTGACCATTAGAACCGCGGAGACGAAATAATCCAGTCTGCTGCTTCGACCGGAAACAAGCGGCCAAACTCCGATCGGCTTCAACAGCCACTTGCTCAGCTGTAGCGTGTACTGTACGTCCCTTACAGAATTCCAATTACTTGGCTCTTCCTTCGTGTCATTGCGTGACTGATGGTGCATGCTGACTGCTTCAGTACACGCTGTCGACTGAATGACAGTCTGAAGTTTAGTCACAATGCTGACAAGAACGCAAGCGCGTGCTTTCTCTGATACGAACATCGACCACATGCGTGTGCCACACACGGTGCATATTACAGTAGGGGGACATCAGTCGATAATCAGGGGACGTTTTTTGCTCATTAATTTCAAACTCTCAGTTCGTTGGGGAGTACGCACCGGTGTATAAGGGGAAATCGAATGTGTAGAACAAAGGAACTTGGGCTGAGAACTATCACTTTTCTGGGATAAGTACGTATGCGTCGCCATAAAATTTTATGTGGATTGTCGTGAATAGTGTCCGATTCATATATGTAAATAATTGTCAATACTACTGTTATGATGAATACTTCAAATGATGAATTTATTCGTTCTCTGGTTCAAATGAAGTATCGGATATTGTAATATCGTCTGTTTGAAAAAATTTGTAAAAAATATTATATCATTCTGCAATTTAATAGCATGGGCGAAAATATGTTTTACTCCGTAAACGTTCGAAGCAGATTGAAGTAAACTACCGATGTCTTCACTACCTGAAAGCATTTACCATTTTTCAATCCATTCCCTTGAACCATTATGGTTTCAGTAAAAGAACCTTACGGTGCTGAAGGTTGTTAAAGATAATTCGATTATTTTCCCGGCTGTAAGTATCGGCGGGTTTTGCGATATGACATTGAGTAGAATAAGATCGTGAGCTCTCTTAGCTGGCAGATTGTACCATTCGATCTCGTAGGAAGCCACACCAATTCGCGTGCACTAATTGCGACAGTTAAGCACAATTTATTAATGTTTTGTACAGGAACACTACTATTAAGGAAACTATTTACCTGTTCGAAGAGAACTTCGCCTATGTAGCAAAATATGAATATATTGAAAGTGAAAGAGATCAACAAAGTGGAATAAGTCACTATAGCGACCGCGTCGCTGTTCCGCCATTCCTACAATAAGCACTCCATAAACTTGTTTACCATTACCATATAATTTTCAATCGAATTATACGAATAAGGTTGAAATTGTTTACCGACAAACAATAGTATTCGAGCATGCACATGTTCACCGTCGATTCGATGATTTGAATGAGACATATCTCGCGCAAAGCTTCTTCAACGTTTCTCGCAAATCTGAAATTCGATGTTGTAAGGTACGTAAAAAGTGATTATTTTTCACCCCTTGCTGAAGAGTCTTCGATTCCTACTTGATAATTTCGACGTGATCATGAATGATAATCGCCAAGGGGTCGGGTGTAACATCATTGTTCTCCACTTTCTTGACCAATTCCTGCAATCTCGTTATGTTTATCTGAATCTGACCGCAGATATGAGTAACGAAGATCGCTGCCAAACTGTAGGCGCCGGTCGCGACAGTATGCGTTACCATCGCGGCGGAGCAATGAAGAAAGAAAACGATTTCGTATGTAGGACTCGACTGTACGTCGAAGAAGGCATCGTATCCGGGATAAGCCAATGGTCTCACTGTGTTGTTACTCTTGCTCCTCTCTTTCGACAAGAACTGCTCCACCGTGTGATGCGACATTCCGCCCGTGTACAGGAATATAGCGCAGACGATGATCATATTCCTGCTGATCGTCACATACTTTAACATAATCCCTCGGTGGTTGGGGTCCTGCACTGTCTTCCAGTCTCTCTCGACATGCTCGATGCACCGTTCAAAAAACTGTCCCTTTAGTCCAAAATAGCAATACTTCATCGCGGAGGTCATGGAGAAGCTGACCGGGCCGAGCAGTTTCACTTTCACGTGTATACTATTCTCGCTGGAAAAGATAAAATTGCAGCATGGCACGATAATGAACAGGAGAGTGAAGAAGCACATGGAAAATAAAATAAACGCGATCAGTTTCTCCAATTGACTAGTGCGCTTGTAAATGACCGGCCATATTCCGAGCGGCTTTAACAGCCACTGGCACATCTGCAGGGTGTAATGTATGTCATTCTTGTAATTGGTGTTCAGCTGCTCGCTGATACCGTTAGCTGATCGATCGTACATGATCGCAGCTTCGGTGCACACTGCCGACTGAAAGACAGGGCACACATTCGACGCAAGCGCGCCACCCTTGGTTTCAATAAATTTTAATGCACACGCAGAACTTTTCTATGTGCTTAAAGATTCGCTATCAGTACGCAAAGAGGGGAATCGTTAGTCGATAAGATAGCGTTTATCCATTTTTTGCTCATTAACATATCATTTCGACGTTCGCTGGGGAGAGCGAACCCGAGGGTAGTCAGCTCAGGGGAAAGGCAACGTTACGTCGTAAGGGAACAATAATCGCTCGATCGTTGAAACGGTAATTATCCGTTTGAGAGACTCGCGTGTATTACCTGTTTATAGATAATTTGACACGTGCCAGTTTCATCCTAGTATGACATTGTCTTTTAAATGATTTCGCGTAAATGAACGCTGGAAATTGTTGGTCAGAAATTTTGCCGTTGGAAATTATTGCCTCGGGGAGGTATAGAGTGCGAGCATATGGTCACCGTCTGATAAAAGTGGATTAATTCTGATACGTGTACTGTTCTATGGATTGAAAAGGGGTAGAAATGTTGCGTGTAATAAACTCGTAAGAAAGAACGGTAAAAAAAATTGAACGCTTTTTTTCCAGAGTTATAGCCTTCCTTTCCTTGAGTTTAAAACAGTTTATACTTGGAAACGGAAACAAATTAATAAACCGTTCCAACAGTTTGAGACAGAAAAAAGTAGTGTAGTTTTCATTGTTCCCGAAGGACATCGCACTTCGTTTGTACCCGTTTTGTACCACCTTCACCTTCGTTTGTACCCCCGGGGTTTCGTTTGTTCCGCGATTCGGACACAGCACGCGTTCGCGGATTTCGAACATCTCGAAAAACGTCGAAGATAGCTTCCACTCTATTTTCCGTACAAACGAACCCCCGGGGGTACAAACAATACTTAATCGAATGACCAATGGCAAATTGCGATATCTTAAAATGAGCTGTTACCTGTTTTTCACACCACCCTTAACTTTCACCTTTTAAGGGTACAAACGAAATGAAGAGTGGTACAAACGGGTACAAACATAGGGAAATCGAATGCATGGTCGTTTTAATTATTTTTTTTAAAGTCGGGTTCACATAGGTATAAATCTATGTATGTAATCATTTCTAATAATTTGATTCTTCTTTTTAAACATACGCTATCAGATTTTTAATAACGATTACCATCAGACACTAATATTCGAGGAAGCATACTATCAGAGTCGACACGACTACTTTCACTAAAAATAACTGGCCCAACGTGTCTTGTGTGTTTCGCGCGAAACTGAAATCTTGCAAGGATCGTATATACATACATTTTTGCTATAGACTTAATTCGTTAAAGGTTCATTATTAAGCATCTTACCTTAGAATCCGTACGTGATCCTTAACGACAGTCGCTAATTGTTCATCCATAGCTTTCACGAACATTTTCCTCTCATTCGTCAAACTTACCAATCGTAACGGCTGTATTTTTATCTGTCCACAGGCGTGGGTGGTGAAGATTATGGTGAAATTGTTTGCGGCCAGCATGATGCCACCAACAACCATTACGTAAAAACAGTGCAGACAAAAAATGATCTCGTAGGCGGGAGCGATCTGATCGTGAAGTTGCCAATGATTATATTTTTCGAGAGGGACGGCATGATAGCGTGATATGACAATTCGCTTATACCCATGAAGGCTGCGTATCAAAGGCTGATCAAGCTCTGGTCCATTATCACGTTTCTAATCATGATTTCGTGATCATCCTGAATTTGCAACCGCCTTCAATCTCTCTCTCTACGTGTTGAATGCAACGTCTGATCGCCGGTTCCTTTACGCCAAGGTAAAAGTACTTGTTTATGCAGAACAGTAAATTACCGAGCAACTTGATCTTCACGTTCATGTCTTTCTCGTAAAACAGCGTGTAAAGACCGAAAGGGAAGATGACGAGTTACAATACCACAGAACAGATCAAGATAATTATCGCGAATACCGTTTTCTCCAGTTTGTTCGCGTGACGGGTAAACGAAAGGGTAAATGCCAATCGCATAGTTTGAACATATGTCGTTCTCGTAGTGCTCGTTCCATGCACGATCGCTCAACCGTGGTATCGGATCGCATGCTAACGCCTCCAATGCACGGCGTCGACTGAACTATGTACACATTTTTAGGGATAACGACTACGAAGAGGCTCGCGAAGGGACGCAAGCGCGAGATTCGATGAATGGAACTTTATTTGCTGGTCGATAGTAAACTTGCGACAATCGCTTCTGACCAAATTTCGTGACCAGTCGACTTTACACGATTTCCATTCGTTTCGTTTCGTAGAACGAGACAATGGCTGGAATCTAAGATACAGTAAAGTTTTGGGGTAATTGCTCTATACTACATTTAGTGCATAGGTGAAGTATCAAAAGAAAAGTTATTGACACGGTTTAGTTTGGGATAGGTAATGTATAGATACGTAAGATCTGAAAACGTCTTATAAAGAATAACCGTTCTAAATTTTAATAAAGTGATCATTTCGTTATAGTATTACAAAATATACCGTCACGTTGGGAAACATATTTTCACGTGGTCAGCGTACGGAGCAAGCTCAAATACGCCAATGACGATTTTAACATCTGTAACAGAGAACGTTCGAATGAGAAATACCAATTCATCAATCGTAAGATAAACATGTAACACTTACGTCGCAGAAGTTGCCTAAGGATAGTTCAACGAGCTTCCCAGCTGTTAATTTCATTGTACTATTCGACATAGCGAATAGCAGTATTAAACCGAGAGCTTGTTTTCCTGGGATACGATACCAGTCAATCATGTAAGCCGATAGACTGAGTTCCTTACACTATAATGCCAATCAAAACTGTCGCACGTTCCGCAAATATTCAAAGTAAAATTCATTGACTGATAACACAAAGATATAAAGTACCTGTTCGGATAAAATTTCACCGATATAACACAGTATAAAAATATTGAACGTAAACGATATGAGTAATGTGCAATACGTCAACGTCCCTATAGGCTCATTCTGCTCCCATTCCTAAAATACTGACACCACATATGAGATATCGTCACATTCAATGTATTAACACTTGAGTGATCGTTACCGTGAGCAAATAGTATCCTAAAAAGCATATGTTCATGCTGCATCCCACGAATTCAACGAAACATATCTCGTTCAGAAGCTCCTCGATCTGGGATATAAAACTGAAAATCGTTTATGACCGATCGACGGCACGATTACCGTTAATAATGATCTATAAAATATTCTAATCATCCTTTACCCCAGTATCTGTATATGATATTCCACGATATCGCCTAATCGGTCTCCGTGCGTATCCCGTTGCTTCTCCACTATCGTTCTGTCGACGAGCTTGTTCAGCTTTATCTCGATAATTTTGAATTGGCCGCAAACGTGCATGACGAAGACTGCGGCGAGCCCACAAGCACCGACGGTGACTGAGTAAATAACGAACCCGGACAAGCATTGCATCAATTGTACGATCTCGAACGAGGGGCTGGTACGCGGATCGAGAAGCCCGCGGTAAATCGGGAATGCTTGAGATCTCACCGTCTCGTTATCTATAATCTCCGTGCGTTTTGTGCACAGTGGCATCACGGTGGTGTAGAAAAATCCACCGGAATACATGAACACGGCGCAGAAGACAGCCAGGGATCGGCCGAACCTCGCATTCTCCCTCATCGTCTCTTTCTCCTCTTGGTTCTGTTGCAAATAGATGCGCGCCCAATCGTCTCGCATCATCCCGAGGCATTTGGCAATTTCTGCACCGCGCGAGACGAGGATGTAATACTTGATCGCTGCCATAACGCAGAAGCTGAGCGGACCGATCATTTTGATCTTTGCGTCGAGATCGCCTGTTTTGTCTAACAGGGTGCACAGGGCGCATGGCACCAGAAGGAAACTTATCAAGAAGGTGCTGATACATGCGAGGATCACGGAATTGATCTTTTCCGGGGTAGTTTCGTATAGAGCGATCGGCCAGACACCGATTGACTTCAGAATCCAGCGGTTCATTTGCAAACTGTACGTCCAATCTCGGTCCCACGGATTCGTAAGAGTAATGGTCATGGTGACAGTAACCAAACGAAAGTTCACGTACAACTAACAGGCGAGACAGGCGAAACATCGATTACTAATAGCTTCTGTATCGCGCATGTGCTGGCTCTTTTTATTAGTCTTAACTAATAAATAGATTCGCGATGCTCGCTGCCAGCGCGGTTCAACTGTCCTTCTACCCACCAGTTGCTTCGAACCGGCGTGCATATACAGACAGTAAAAAAAGCGTCTATAATACAGACAGTAAAAAAACGTCTTCGTGCACTTCTACTTTCTATGCAGACGGTTTTTATCTTTTTATTTTCCATACGACGTCTGTTAGTACCGTGGTCTCTAGAAACTGAATCCGTATGATACATCAACTATTTATCGTAAGACCTTTTTAGTGACTTTATATTAAGAGTGAATACTTATGCTAAAAAATGATTGATAATTAGTTCACATGTTTGTTCGTTTTTATATTAGCCGAAAAATGAGAAGAGTCGCGCGTTGTTAAGTAGCCTCTGCGAACGAAACTGCAAGTCATAGTATTTATTCAAGGCATGTTCGACTAAAACAATTTATGCTATAACAACAATATTCAGTACTCTGTCTATATTAATAAACATTTTATATTTTTCATATTCATATTTTTTAAGGATACAAATCGTCATACTACTTGTCGAAACAGATTTAAATAGGCGACAGCCGATCTTATCACCTGGAATGTCAGTATCGTTAACAAAAGTAACCCGATACATTTAAACGTGATTGATAAATCGACTTACACTACCGAATGTGTATATAGACATGTGAGCCATTTTTCCAGCTGTGATGTCAGGAGGCACGCTGGATCTTGAAATAATTAGGATCAAATCAAGGATATGCTTCTCAGGTAAATTATACCAGTCGGTCAAGTAAACTGCCTCACCGATCTTTTGACACTGTCAAGGAATGTCGATAGGCTTCCTAAATAATTATTATTCAATCGTTAAGTCGATGATATATTACCTGTTCCGTTAGTATTTCGCCGATGTAACATATTGTAAAAATGTTGAAAATCATGGAAATAAGAATAACGACATATGAGCTCAGAGCTCTCACGTCGTGATCAGCCCATTCCTAATAAATAAATATTCCAAATGACTTCTTATTTTTACATTAATCATAGCGTATTTTTTTTTTTTTTTGCATAGATCATTTCATCTCTAGACAGTTTTTCTTCGAATGAAACATTCGATTAATTAATTTTTATCGAATAATCTTTAAAGAACGTGTTAACATACATTTCCTTATCCGTTTAGCCTACCATGAGGATGTAATATCCAAGTATGCACATATCCAGCGTACATTTGAACAATTCCGTGAAGCATATTCGAGTCATCACATCCTCAATACGGTCTATGAAACTGCGGTTAATTTAACGCTTATTGTTAGTGAAACCCGTCAAAAAATCGGCGGTCAAATTTTACTACTTACCTCAGAACCCTGAGATGGTGCTCAACGATCACGCCGATCTCAGTGAAAGCATCGTTGCTATTCTGATCTTTAAATTGGTTCACGAATTCGATGATCAGAGACATCATTATAGTCAATTGACCGTGAGCGTGTGCCGCGAACACGGTCGCGAGGCTGAACGCGCAAATGGTGCTCTGATTCACGATAAATCCCGAAACGAACTGCGAAGCCAGCACAATCCCGTACGTCGGGTTGGTATCGACAGGCAGCAATTTCATGTACACCGTGCAGGGTAACGTGCGTATGGTCTTGGTCTCGTTCCCAATCTGGATGTCGATCTTCGTGAACCCCGACGCGACGCACCAACATAAAACGCCACCCTGCATGAAAACGGCGCAGAAGGCAGCCACGTAATGACCGATCTTTGCGTTCTTCGTCATCACTTGTCGAGCATCCGATCTTGTGATAATGGTCCAATCGGTTTTCACATGTTCAATGCATTCGCGTATCGCGCTACCCTTCATCAGCAGCGTAGTATAATTTATACCACCGACGAACCAGTGGCTGAGGGGACCCGTAACTTTCAGTTTCGTGTAGAAGGTTTCAGGTTCCAAGCAAAGGAAGATTATGCAAGGGATGACGGTGAATAGTATGAAGAAGTAGCAAAGGATGTTTAAAACGCGGGAAACGCTTCTCTGGCACATCGAGGATGATTGGGAGGGTGGCCAGATGCCTATCGAATTCAGATACCATTTGACTACTTGCAGGCTGTACTCGCCGCTACCCTCAAGGTACTCTCCGACTTTCTGTACGGTCTTTTTTTCCATCGTGCACACTCGATGAAGTCGTGGGTGCAACTGAATTTTTGTATCACCTTAATGCTCCGGGATACACGCTTGCGCGGATTTTCCTAAACCTATTGCATGCCCCCTCGATCGATTCGTCTAGTCGGTTCGTACGATTTGTTCCAGCATACGCCCGTAAATTGTACAATATTGTACATGATCTAGACTGGATGAAGACGGTCGATCTTTTTGTCGCACGGGAAGAAGTAGTTCGTTTGCGTCTAAGTAATAACACAGTTTGTTTGTTTTTTGTTGTGTTGATCTGCCGGCTGGACGACAAGGATTTGGTCTGTTATACGACGTTTAACCCTATACGTTGTAAAGTTGTTGGTAGTCACCGTGTGAATCGGACAATGTGCATGTAGAACTTGAGGCTTCGCGTGGGACGCCGAAACTTGCCAAGTTATAAATAAAACTGCTCTCAGATAGTGGAAGGACTCTCTGAGTCGCAGTGTCCGCTTGCGTGCAGAAAACTTAGGTGAAAATAAAATAAAAAGCTTTCTCTAACACTGGTCGTACCGTTTCTCAAGTTGAAAGTACTTTCACAATGGTTTTGTTGAGTGAACAGTATTTAAAGACGACGCTCAAGATATTTTCATAGGGCAATCGAAATTGGGAATGGAGGTAATTTAATATTATTAGATTAGATTAGATTTTCATGGTATAGTATTATACATATTGTCAAAATACAAACTTTTGTGCGGTTTCTTAATTAATATGTCGTGACTGTGAAATGAATACAAATGATCTTTAGGATATACAAATTATATTCGACACTGAACTTGTTCATATTTCAAACTTTCAATGCTTGTATATGAGTCCTTTACGAATACATTTTATCTCATCGTCATTTGTCGGAACATATTAAGGTATGCGAAACTAGTTTTCATCATCTAAAAGAATAAAGTGCCATGTGTAGACAGATACGTGGATTGCGTAAAACGAGTTGACTTACCTGGCCGAACGTAGAAACTGACATGTGGATTATCTTCCCGGCGGTGATTTCAACGACCACGTTCGACCGAGCGATGACGAAGATCAAGTCTAGGATCATTTTATCGGGTAAATCATACCAGTTCGTCATGTAAATCACATCACCGACGTCATTGCACTATCAATAATTTAAATCTATTATACTTATTAACAGATTTTTAATTACATTATTGTACCTGTTCCGCTATTATTTCGCCGTTATAGCACATTATAAACATGTTAAAGCAAATGGAGATGAGAACTACGAAATACGTAGTCAGTTTTTTAACTTCTCGATCGTCCCAATCCTAGGAGTATGATACGATTAATCATAACTGTGTAAGCAATGTAATTACGAGAAGAGTGGAAGATTATACCATGAGAATTAAATATCCAAGTATGCTTATGGCCAGCACACACCTTAGTAATTCTAAAAAATATATTCGGTTCATCACTTCTTCTGTAGTCGACACGAAACTGAAATGTTAACCCGGGATGTAATCAGAAAAGTAATCTCTTCATTAACCCTTGTCTGTTCATTGCGCATATTTGTCTTCGTTCGTATGTGCAATGAATTTTAGACTTGCAAATGCAAGTGATGGTGATTATTCGAAACACACCTTACGACAAAACTATAAAACATTTATGATTGTAATGGGAATGTACATGTACACATAAAGTAGTTGCTCAGGGAAATCTAATCGATACATTTCATGTTTTTTGCTGGTGGTGATTTTTGTTAGAATGTCCCGCCATTTGCAGAATGCGTCGAACATTCGTTACATTAGGCCCAAACTCTGTTCCACGAGAGAGTATAAACCGTCTGCGTATCTTGCCTCCATTGCCCAATCGTATCCTTCATAGTAATTGGTGTACGGGTCTACTTAGTACCAAACAAGGACCGCCTTGGGCCATAAAAATGGATTTTCCTTAAACCTCCGAACCTCTACAGGGCTTGGCAAGGGGTACGTATATGGGGATGTTTGTCGTCGACCAGCGCCAATGACTTATTGCAGAGGGCGTGATCTCCACAAAGCTTACGGAAATTGGTCGGCAGACGAGGAACAGAGTTTTTCGCAAGTAAAATCTCAAAACTAGTGTAAGGAATTTTAATGGGAGGTTCCTGACATGATTTTAAACAACATTTTCCTTTGCGAAAAAGTTGTCCGAGGCGTGGTTGAGGAGTTATTAACAAAAAACATCGACCAATCAGAGCGCTTGGTTCGCGCGCGCTCCGGCTCGGGAGCGTTGGCTCCGATCCGGCCGGCCGGCCTTTCACGCGTTTGAACAAGCGCTCCGCTCAGTACGAAGCGTTTAATAAACTACATGAATAACAATGCAAGGAAATTGTTGTTCGTGCATTATTGCGGAGTGTAAAATCGTATAGTAAAAGTACAGTAGAGCTTGATTTTTACTCATTGCGAAGTAGTCAATAAAATTTGATAAAGCTTACTTTAACGTTCTTAAATGATGTTCAACTAACATGCCAATGTCGTTAAACGTAGTTGTCTTTTTCGGTTTTTCCGATCCGTTTACGAGCTCAGTGATCCGCAGCATGAGGATATTAAACTGGCCGCGCGCGTGAGCGGCGAGAACGGCGGATAAACTGAAAACTCCGACTGTAGTGGAATTCGCGATAAATAAGGAGAATACCTCTGCGAAAAGCATAATCTCGTTTGTGGGGCTTTTGTTAACGTCGATTAGCTTTTTATAAACCAGTACGGGAAGCGGGTGCACGATCCTCGTTTCATTTCCCACTCGGATCGTTTCGGTGTTCAATGCTGTTATAAAGCAAAAAGCTAAAACGCCGCCTTGCATGAACGCAACGCAGGACGTAGCCACGTACCGGCCGAATTTCGCGTTCTTCAACATCACATCCCGATCTCTCTCGTTCATTGCCCTTATCCAATCTTTCTCTATGTATTCGAAACATCTGCGTATGTCTTTTCGCTTCAACAACAGTATCGTGTAATTGGCGATGCTGACGAACCAGTGACTGAACGCAGCGATCATCCTCATTTTTATGTGAAAACTGTCATCTTCCAGAAATAAGTATAGCAAGCATAGAGCCAAGAAAAAGGTCATGAAACTGTAGCAAATTGCGTTCACAATGTACGAAACGATTTTGTCGCGTCTCGGGGTGCACGGCGACGCGGGCCATATTCCGATCGGTTTCAGAAGCCATCGGTTTAGTTGAAGACTGTAGTCACTGTGACTATCGAGATCCGTCTTCACACTTACAGATTCGTTCGCCATCGTAGCTACCTACTCATCGAGAGTCTTCGGGGAACTGAACCAATCGTCTGTCACGAACGCCGCGTCAGCGGTGCGACGACGCGACGCGTTTGCACCTGGGTGCAACTTGCGGCTGAACGCTTGCGCAGTTTTTTTATGTGACTGTACAGCGTACTGTGGATCGATTGGTTTAGTCGCTCGCTACTTGTTGCAGTGGTGCACGCAACTGGATACGCTTCGAGGAGTGTCGGAAGCGATTGGAGAACGACAAGCACGCAACAAAGAGTATTTGTGGATAAAGTGAATGTGTCTATAGAAGGGTGACTTAAACGCGTGATAAGCACAAGTTTCAAATAGGTCTCGCTAGGGAGGCTCTAGAGTAGAGGCAAACCATCTACTAATAATTGTGCTATAATCGTGGGGACATAAAACGGATAACATTTATAAATTTGTAATAAAAATACCTAATATCCAGTGCGTACGTTAATTTTTATATTTCATAATAGTACATATACATATCCTAAACTACATATAATGGTACATTTTATTAAGTCATGTTTCGCAACAGATTCAGGTATGCAAACCCGGTTTTCAACACCTGGAACGGCATATCATTTGAAACACATAATGAAACAAACACGTTTGAGAAAATTTATGTTAACTGTAAGAGAAACGACGTACATCACCAAACGTGTATATGGACATGTGAAATATTTTGCCAGCGGTAATTTGAACAACCACGCTCGAACGAGCGATGATCATTATCAAGTCGAGGATATGGTTGTCGGGTAAATAATACCAATTCGTCATGTAAACCACTTCACCAACTTTCCTGCACTGTCAATAATCGCACTATTAGTCTGTATCGGGATCTCTTCTGAGTCGTTTCTTCTTCATTTTGTATTAACCCTTTCGCTACGGACACTGACTATAGTCGGCGGCTGTGAGACGTGCTGTATGTACGGGTGCCGACTATAGTCGGCGTCCGAATATCTTTTGAATCTAATAGCTCGTACTGAACTAAATCCTGCATATTTTACATACGAAATAAGAATCTTCAATTTTTTTCTATTGGATGGTAAATAAACAATACAATACAATACAACAATACAATACAAGTATTTGTAAGGCACAAAACTATAATAGAAAACAAGGATTATAATATAAAGTATCTAAAAAAAA